GCAAAAACTTCGTCTTCTCCCAACGTCGTGCACTAAAAAGCGGGCTTTATGTAAACAAATCCAGATGAAGGGAGCGTAAATCTACAGAAGGAACCTCACCCCCGGCTGCACTGGGGACCGGCGGGCGTCTTTCCGTCGGGGGGAAAAAAAAAAAAAAAAAAAAAGACCCCAAGCCCGCAGGAGCCACCTCTGTGTTTCCACGTCAGGGAAAAACCCAGACTCTCGCTGCCTTCAGAGGTCTAGTGGCAATACAAAGGCTGCCCCGGAAAGCTCTAGGCTAAGCATCGTCTCGTGGAGGGATGCGAAGGATTTGCATACAGCAAAAGAAAAAAAAAAACCTCTCCCGTTTCCAGAAAGGAAAACGTAGCTGCATATCCTCGATAACAACTACTCAATAAAACTAGTTTTGCCAGCCATGTGTATGAAAGCCCCGCATCTGGTAAGGAATAAAACGTTAGCGTTCAGCCTTTTATGCCAGAAGTCATACGCATTTTCTTGCCCTATTCCCCCCAGCATTAAAGTGGTTTCTCTCCACAAGAGCTTCCCTCGCTGGCTACCTTTTCTCTCCCCGCGATCCCCTCTCAGGGTTTATTGCCACCAGCAGCGAGAAAATGATGGTGCCCACCAACCGGGTCATTATTGTTTAATCGATGCATCTCCGGAGCATGAAAAGGGTACCCGAGACGCAGTTATTGATTTCCCTCCCCCACTAACTATCGCTCTCTTTTCTGCGAATGAAATAAATAAATAGAAATTGCTAGCCGGGCTTTGCGATTCTGTCCCTGCTTAAGCTAAATGTGACTGTACATGTTCAATGTTGCATATCTGCTCTGCCAAAGACAGAGAGATCAAAGGTCATATTTAACATTCAGGAGGAGGGGCGGGTGCAGATTAATTAATAAATTAATACAGCGATGCCTTTTATTGCCCAAGTCTAGCATTAATCTACTTTTACGATCCCAGAGAACAAGAACAACAGGAAAAAAAGAGCCCCCGACAAACCCACAAAATTTGAAAAACACAAAAAACGACCCCTCTAAAAAGAAACAAACAAACCTAAAAATCAAAACCACAAAAAAACCAAAACAAAAATAACAACCCACGAAGAATAAGGGGGAAAAGAGAGGGGGGGGGGGAAGCAAACCAGTCACTTACCAGGCTCTTTATTTGGGGGGGCTTGAGCGTGCAGACGCTACCAGCCTGTCTGCCTTTAATTAGTTGCACATCAGTCCCTAACACAAAGAAGAAGAAGAAGAAGAAGAAAAATATCCAGATGTGCCTTGGCAGCTCCTCAATTACAACTTTGATACTTGTAAACAAACTGCGAGGGCGGTGGGGAAGGTGGGGGGGTGAACAGGGGGGATAAATTTAAGCCGCCGATCCACTAAACAATACCTGTAAGTGGCTTTTTTCCCCCCTCTCCCTCTCTCGCCCGTTGCAGAGAAAGGAGGAGGAGGGGGGGAGAGCAGGGGAGGCGGCGGGGGGCGAGGAAGGAGCAGGCACAGAGGGAGGGGCGGGAGGAGTGTGCGTGTGTGTGTCTTCTGTGTGTGTGTGCGTGTGCGCGGTGGTCTCCTCTGCCGGCGGCGCACTGCTCGCCGCCCGTCTCCGGCGCCCGCCCCTCGCACACAGCGCCGGGAGTGCGTGTGCGTGTGGCGGTGCGGGGGAGGGGAGGGGAGGGCGGGGGCGGGAGGCGATCGCCGCCGAGGTGAGGGAGCGCGGCGGGAGGCGCAGGGATGCGACACCGCTGCGCCGCCGCCGCCGAGCGGCGCGCACAGGACCGCGGCCGCAGCGCGGGGGCCCGCCCCCGCCGCCGCCCCCTCGCCCCCTTCGCCCCCTCCCCGCGGCGGGGGCGCTGCGGCCGCGGCCGCCCGGTGCGGGGCTGCCGGCGGGGCGGGGCCGCCGAGCAGCCGCAGAGGGGAGGGAGGGAAGCGAAGGGGGGGCGGCGGTGGGCAGGGCGCGCCCCGCCGCGCTGCGCCCTGTCACCCTCGCGCGGGCGGGCGGGGAACTGCGGCAAAGTTTGTGCCCCGGGAAGTTTGCGGAGGGGAGCTGGGGGCCCACCCCGTCCTGGCCCGCCCCTGCAGGCTGGAGCGGCAGGCCGGTGCCCCGGTCAGCGTGGCATTTTTCACGAGCGTTTGCGCGTCTCTAACGACTACCACCCCCACGCATGCTATTAGCTTTTTATTTCAGACGCGTGAGGTGCTGCGGATTTCAGGCATATTTAGGCGAACTGGAGCCAGCTGAACCGTAGATGTTACACAAGTGTCTCGGCACTCATTGGAAGCGCTTTCCCCACATTTGCCCTTTGCTTGTGCCAGAGCCCAGGAGGTGCATGGCCCCTGTCTGGGCAGGCCACGCATACCCCCGCACCTGAACTGCCAACGTTATAACGCTTTTCTCAACAAGCAACTGACTTACAGAGATTGCATGCAAACACACAGCAGATCCTTAAAGAATTTCAGCAAACTATTAAAAAAAACCCAACCAAGCCCACTCGCCTTCCCCAGAGTTCTTGCAAGCACAAAAAGGGGCCTATATTCACCAAATAAATTATGCGTCACAAGTTCTTCATCCAGCTCCTCTTGGAGCGAGCGATGGCACTTACGGAGCCGTTGCTGCAGCCCGGTGCTGCCAGTGTGGGCACTAAGCAGTTAAGAAATGGATGTTTCTGCCAGGAAAATCATTTTAGCCATGTGTAAATTACAGAAGAAGAAGAGAAAATTGTACCGTTTCACTGGCTTTATATGTAAGTGAAGGATTTATGTGCAGACTGAAGTTTTATTTCCTTCCACGCCAATCTGAATTCAAGCTTGGGGTGCTCAGTTTTAGGGAATTACCCACAGGAAAGCGCTGCAGGAACATTTTCCCAGGAGCAGCAAGATGAGATGGATTTGAGCAGTGGGATTTGGCAAGAACCAGCAGCCTTGTGGTTAGTGCTCCAACAAGTGAGACTGACTGGTACAGGAGAGGGACAGTTATGGTTAATCAGGTAAGTTGCAGATCTGCAAGAAGGCACGCTTCTGGCATTTATGTTACGGATTGGTGCACTTTATTTGGAACCAGTACAGTTTATCGAACTAATTAGCTGCTTCTAACCACACGATATGCATTTTGAAATACCCCCAAACATGGATTTACATAATGAAGTGTAACCTCCCGACTAGCTAGCGTCATCCTTTATGACAGGTCTGCTGCCTTTTTCAAAGTCTTTTCTGTTTTGATACATTTTAAACCAAACTTATGAAGGGGGGGGGGCTGGGAGGGAGAATACAAATGAGGGGAAACAGTGTTTCAGTAATGTCACAAAGTGACAAAAAACAAGAGCTTTTTCTGTTGAGGTTCATTCCCTACCACTTTTCTCCCAAATTAGTTGTCAAAAGCCATACGCAATACTCCAAACACCGAGGACGTTTTTCAAATACAGACTTCTCCTGAACTCCAAACTTCCTTTAATCACAACCTGTGTCTCACTTAAGTAATCCTTTCTGAGTTAATTTATTACTCTTGAAGGAGTTACATTTTTAATAAGCTAAAAGAGGAAAAGGGGAAAACTCTGATAATCTTTTCTCATGCATAAAGAAGACCATTTCATGTATTTTTTAATTGTCATGTGAATTAAATTGCAGTGCTATATATAACCTTTCTGCTCCAGCCTGGAAACTTGTACACTTTTTTGGTGTTGGGGAAGAAGTGTGGAATCCAGTTCAGATGGATTTTCTCTGAAATCTTTTTGCTTAGTAGAGTTCGGGGGGTTTTGTTTGTTTGGTTGGTTGGGGGGTGTCATTGGGGTTTTTTTGTTTTGTTTGTTTGTATGTGTATGTGTTTATTTTTGTTTTGTTTTCAGATACAAATCTGTTTTATCCTACATTCTGCCCTGAGCCTGGGAGCCAAGGAGGACTGTAAGAGTGGAAAATGTACAAGTGTTTATTAGTGAGGTAGCCAACCTTCCAGCTACAACTATCTCATGACGAGTCCTCAGAAAACAACTCCAGATTGTCCTTTTCAGCATAATCACTGCTTTGATGGGAGGGACAGAAAGTTAAAAATCACAGACTCTGTTTTTCGTTCAGAAACCATTCCTACTTCATTTTTAGCAGGAATGCAGGAAGAGGAGTATGTTGTAACATTGGTAACATTGCCCTGCCTTTTAGGTTGTTCTGAAAGAAAGTTGCAAAAAAAAAAAGAAACTCTCGTTCATTCTGTTACTGACTCTAGTGTGTATCTGCAAACTGGCCACTTTAAACCTACCCTGCTCCATTAAGTATTATAAGCACTAGAATTAGAAAAAGGAGTCAAAGCCAGCCCTTGGGGAATGCAGCAGTTCCTTACAGACTTCTAGCCGGGTATTTTTTTTTTCCTAATATTATTACTCTTTCTTTTTGTGTGCTGTTTTCCTAGGGCTCCCAAAGCCCACAGATACACTGTCAGGGCTAGACTCTGACTCTGTTGTTGTGTTTGGGTTTCCTTCTGCTGGGGCCAAGAGCTCTAAAATGTCCCAGACCACATGCGCTGTGACTCTGGCTTTCCTCTGGGTGGTCCATGTGGCACATGTCCTGAGCAGCCTAACCGTGGGTGTGGGCCTCTGCCCCAAGAACTATGGATGGCAACTGGAAAAGCAGCTGCCACTGCTCCACTCACTTTTTCACTAGGAAATCTCCTGCTTTGCAAAGGAAGTGGTAGGTTTTCATTCAGGACCATGTGCCTTTACCTGCCGCCAGCTCTATTTGTGCCTCACCCCTTGATGAAAATGGAAATGGTGGCTCAGCTGTCTTCCACCCTCAAGAAGAAACACATTTCTGGCACAGCCTTTTTTCTAGCACCAGTCTTGTGGGCACTCTGAATATATGGTCCTTCTCTTCTGAGACGGGGGTAAATTGAAGAACAGATGCAGAAGTTTTCTCAAAATTCCCAAACCAACTTCTTTTTTTTATTTCATTGGTGGAAGAAATACATGAAAACATATGGAAATGTCTTGTACATCCACAGCAATAAAAGCACACCTGCACCCTGTTGCCTGGAATCCCTCATAATTCTTTGACATCCTTTGAGCTACAAATTATTTCACGGATTCTCTGGGACCTGGGCTTCAATCTAAGCTGAAAGCTGTCTGTTTGTACTGCCATGATGCCAAATCCAGCCGCTCTGAGCTGCAGTTCATCTCTGTGACTTCCAGCAGTGCTAGGCACCCTCCTTCCTTCCTCTACAGATGGTCACCTTTCTGCTGGCACATATGTACCATTCCTCCTTCTCGTGGTTGCAGCCAGACACCTCCTGTTCACTCCCTCATACCTACCCCTGCTGCTTTCCACGCATGCAGCCAGCCCATCCCAGCTCTCTGATGAAGGGGGACGCCTCGCTACTTGCCAGCTACTCTGGAGTTCTCGCATCAGTAAAGGGAAAGTCCAGGCACGAACTAGTTTTTGTGTGCTGCAAGAAAAGACACCTGAGAACTGCTGAAAAGCACTGTCTGCCAGAAAAATCAGGATAAACCCATCCATTAGAATGCCTCTCTTTCACATTACTGAAAACTGCACTCCTTGCTTTTGTTTGAAAGGAAATGCAGCAATTACCCCTATTACAGACACCTACAAATATTTACTTAAATTATGTAGCAGAGGGATTTTTAAAAAAAGTTATCACAGCTTAAACATTCCCATCACTTTGAATCTGGCTTGATTCTGTGTCAGGTACAGCCTCTTTCCTGATTCTTCAGGGGCAGGATTCCAGACTGCTGATCTCCAATTATGCCGACTCCCAGAGGGCTCGATCCGTCACTGATGCAAGTCAACATTGCAGCTCTGCATTTGATAGAATGCTGCCAGATGAGAAACAGCAGTGCCTAGGAAAAACAAAACCCACAGTGATCCTTATACTGTTGATATCGGGATCCTGATAGGACAAAGAAGGGGAGTTCTGAAACCTGGGTCTAAAGAGCTGGCTACTAAAACCACCTGGGTCTGTTTAGACCACCTCAGCATCTCTCTTCTCTCTGGCTGACAGCCCACGCATTGGTGCCACAGTTTCATTTCTTAATGTTTCTTAAAAACCGCCCTTCACTGGATTGGGGCTGGAGTGGCTTTTACCCTGTGAATGCTGTATGAATCTAAATGTCAAGCCAGAGATGTCATGCCAGCAGCTATCAAGGCGGTTTAGAATAAGCATTCCCTGGCCAGTAGACAGTAAGCATGGGCTTGTTCACCTAATCAGCTTTTGGGCTCCTCAGTGCTAAGGCTGTATTCTGTTTTTGTCAAATGGCATTGTACCAACACTCCTCTGGGGCAGCTGCTCAGAAAGTGTGTTTGTTCTTTCAGGGCTTGCATGTCCCAAAAAAACCTGTGAGAAAGGTTTGAATCATTGCAGCTAGTTCAGGATGGCTGACAGTTTTTCTTTCCTTTTGGGCCCTATTTTCAGATACTTCTCAATTTGTCAAGTTTCACCTCTTTGAACTAAAAGTTCCCTGTTTGAGAGGTATGCAGTCTCTAAAACCATTCAGCTGGTTTCCAGACTTCATTCTTAACTAACACATTTTCTGTGCTAAAATAATAACTATTTAAGAACTACTTTTCTAAGGAGCTGTAATGCCTTTGCACTTAGAAGCAAAAAGTTTAAAGTTTGATCATTGTGAACATACCTCATTTGGCCAAATTGCACAAATTTCTGAGCTATAAAAAAGAAATCTTAGTTCACACACAGGAACTGTTAGAAGTGCAAGAGGGAAAAATTCTCCAAAGAGTCTCTTTTTGGCCGATCTTTGAAAAAGATTCCCTCAGTAAACACATTCCCTGTACTGGAACTGCTAAGTGATATGACAGTAGCAAAAGGCCACCATCAGCCACAGAGCATTCAAATTTAGTGATCTCTCTTATCAAATTATCAAAACATGGATGATCCCACTTCTAGAATATGGAGACAGACTTGTTGATGCTTGAGAAGTACATAGGTATCACAGAGATAACCTGTAGAAATTTTGGAATATGGAAGTGTGGAGCTGGGGAAACTCTATGAAGGAAGAAAAGGCTGATGGTGAGAAGGGACCATGGACTAAATAAGGAAACAATCCTGTGGAGAGACTAGTATGCCATCAAGTGTATGTAGCAAGCTGGTAGAGTAAGGATTGCATGGATAAACTCCAGAGAGCATCTCCTAGCTTTTGAGCCCTTCAGTCTTTGACCTTTGTGAAAATTCTGGAGGTTTCTATCCTCTGGGCTTGGCTGCCTTCTGAATTGTGGTACTCGTCTTGGAAGTGACAGGTTTTGCTTTACCTCTGTATGTAAGTTTTTTATGAGATAGTTCCATTTTCATATTTAATAAATTGGGGAGAGTAAAGACTTAATTAGAAAGCAGAGTTTTGTCAATTTAACACCATCTTCAGATGAACGACAGCCATCTTGTGCCAGATTTTCATATCACCGTGATCAAACACCTCTGGTAGATAATAGCAGAGAAACCAAGCTCATACCACCAAGCCATGACTTTGGCCCTGGAATGCCCAGGATAGCTACATCAAGCTATTCCATGTTCTGTTAGTTTGAAAGAGCATTCAAAACCAAAATAGGAAGTACAGCAAACTTTTTTACTACCTCATAAAACAGCAAAAGAAAACAATAGCAGCTGCTTCAGTTAATTTCTATAGGAAGAGAAATTTGAGTAAGATTTTTTCGCTAGAGAAAATTCTTTTCTCTGTAGTTGTGATGTATAGCTTTGGTTACATTCTCATTGAAATAGCCAGAGATTTTGTTATCACCTCAGTTCTCACACTCTAAATATACACAAAAGACGTGTATATTTTACTATCCTGTTTTGTTAATGTTTTGCTCACCTCTTCTGTTGTCACATTTCCACTGTTAAGGCTCGTCTGGAATAAGCTTATTTTTTTTAAATACTTGATTTCACACACTACTACTATTTATGGTTAAGGCTTCTTTGGGAAGAATGACAATCAATCATGACTCAAAGATGGTCTCAGTGCCAGAAGCACTTGTATCCTTCTACAGGCCATCATTCTAACTTACAATAAGCACCAGTAGGCAGTGGATGGTCATTTCCCTTACTGTTCCCTGAGGTCATCTTAATCAGCCCTTGCCTTTACTGTCAGAAGGCATAAAAATGGAACTCCACATGCTGCACAGCATAGGACTGATGGATGACCCCAGAGGAGTACTTCTGATCCTCTGTCGATGTCCCCAGAACTTCCTTCTTTCTCTAATTTCAGAGGTATCCACAGATGAATAGGGGTGCGGAGGGCAGCTGGCTGCTCCAGTTGTCAGGTGGTTTAAAAGATGCTGCAGGTAGCTGGAAGCTGACAGCACAGTGTCTGTCACTTGGATGACCACAACTAAGCACCTCCTTTGTAAGTCAGGACACTCAGCAGCAGGTATTGTCTCACAGAAAAGGTTATTGCTGTGGTTTAGATAATACCAGTTTCCATCATTTTATCACTGTTACCCCAGTTATGGGTGCTTTCAATATTCACCTACTTACAGCTGCGGACACAGAGGTTCAAGAAAGAGTATGCTGGAAAAGGGAAATGATATCCCAGATGCCAGTGCATGGTCAGAAGAATACACTACAATCCCAAGAATGGCAACAAAATGTGAGCTACTGGACTTGGGAAGAACAAGAATAAACACAGTGAAAAGCAAACAATAAAAAGCTGGTAAGAGAGGAAGAAATGTAGATAAACTGTATTGTGAGGATTTAAAAGGAAAATCAGGGCAGAACAAAACACAGAAGGTGCCACAAGGGACATGAGCAAACTTTCTTGTTTCAACAAGATAGCTATTGTTTCTCATGCGTGTGCAGTCCTGTCCAAATGTGCCGTCACACAAATATTTTAAGTTGCTCTCTCCTGCCAGCAAGAGAGTTGTTATCATGGCAGCCGGTGCTGTGCTGCCGAGATGAGCCCCCAGAGAAAGCCCTCTCTCCTCTCACTCACGCACTGGCATGCCAGCCAATTCCCTGCACTCCTTCCTACGTGCTCAGAATGACGGTCACGTTTCAGTCAGTGCTTCAACCCTTTCTGGGTGTAACTTTAGCCCCCTTGAGCAGTGACATACCTGCTTTACACTGCATCTGCAGAACAGAAGAAACAAGGCCCTGAGCGCAGAGATCTTGTTAAAACATGCTATAGGCAGACCAAGAGATATTATCAGCCAATTGAACAAGGACCAATACACCTCCATTCTTGAAATTCTGTATGTTATCCCTGCTCTGCTGAATCTGCTTGATTTCAAGTTGCAAAAGCATTATCCTAAGCAGGATGACAGAAATGCCCATTTTTAATTAATGTTATTATTTTATTACTCTTGGTTCTTAATGGCCCAAGATATTTTAGCTGATAATTGGGATCAAGTAACAGGGTTATTTCTTTTATACCCGTAGCATATGTAGGTATCTATATCTATGTGTATATATATCTGTATGTACATATGTATGTAAGTATACAAAACCCCTATGCAAATACTTTAGGGTAGAGATCACTCGGTATGTGGAGTTTTCCTTAACACTTCTCAAGCCCATTTAATATACATGTTTGCTGTTACACAAAGCAATACTGACCCAAAAACAATTGGTCTTGTAGATATAAAGTGAACATTAAGACTTTAATCAACAATGCTGTCAAAGTATCTAGAAGAAATTAGTTTATCATGCATAGCAAAGATGGGTTTCTTGAGACTTCTAATGAAAGCTGATATAGCCATTATCTGATTACTGTAACATACACTCAATCATTAATACAAAAGTACTCTTTCATGATCTTCATTTTATGGCCACAGCCATCCTAGGAGGAAGCCAGGAGGTGGGAAGAGGAAAGTATTGCTTCTTGCTTTTGTTCATGCCAGTTCTAATGGGGTTGTGACACTGAAGAATGCTAATTCAAGACTGATGTGTATTTCTTGGCCCTGATCACAAGATGTGGGTCAGACTTATGAGGGGTCAGCAGTATTTGACGTCCTGAGGGCAAAATGATGCTATTCAAGATTAATACAGAGGCTGTGCCAGTACTCTCTAGTCCCAGGGACTGCCAGTTGGCCTGTTGAGAAGGTGTAAATCCATGTTCCCCATCGCAGCTGTGCTGAACCAAGTCCTGCTACGAGTAAGGAGCTGTGCCCTGGCATCTGCATAGAAGTGATGATACTGCTTTTCAGTAGCAAAACCATGGAGAACGTAAAGATGCATAAGGGGTCTGGTAATTATTTCTCAAGTTTGTTATAGCAAACTGCACTCTGTTGTTATTTTGCTGCTGGCTTCTGCTAATAATTTGCTCTCAGTTTTTAAAGAACAGACCCCAAAAGAAATTTGTTGGCATCTGGCTCAATCAAAATGGAAAAAGTCATAATAAGGAAACTATCTTTCAAGAAGAGTGAAGACTGTGTTCTCTGAATGTAGATTTTTTTAAATTACTTTGGATTTTGCAGATTGTAGTCATTATACAGCTATTTATGAAGAAGTATTATTGTTGTCTTTGTCATGAAAAAAAGCCTTGAGAACTCTGACTGTCACGTAGGATTAGTATTGCCACAAAATAAATGTTCTCTCAATATTTTTGCAGACATTTTCACAGGATCATTGGAGAACCTGAGCCTCACTATTACTGAAAATTAAAATTACTTAATAGTGCTGCCTATGATAGGGTGTTGGCTTTACAGTTGTCAAAAACCTCAGATATTGATCATTCTGTTTAATGATACATTATTTTCTTTTAGTACTTCTAGACATACTGCAAGTGTTATGATTCTTTAAATGTCTGTGTTATTGTAAAAGTACTAGTATGAGTGAATAAACAGTTGCCTAAAATAGATATTGATTTTGCATCTTTAAAAGCAAGAGACTGAGAAC